TGCTGCTGCCGCTGCTACTGCTGCTGCTGCTGCTGCTGCTGCTGCGGCTGCTGCTGCTGCTGCTGCTGCGGCTGCTGCTGCTGCTGCTGCGATCTGCTGCCTGGGGCCCCTCCTGCGGGCTTCTCCTCCAAAAACTCTGAAAGGGGGGCGCAAATGGCCAGAGGATTTTGTGCAGCGCCGCCTAGGGGCCCCTGTGAGGCAGCAGCAGCAGCAGAATCGCCTGCGGCTGCCGCCGCGGACATGGTGGGTGGAACACCGCGGGAACCGACGAGTTTGGGGGGAAACTTCCGTTCAAAGTGGAAATAAAGTTGAAATAATTCTTTAAATTGAAAAAAAATTGGAAAAGGAGCGGAAAAAACCCGAAAACGTGGCCAGTTCAACTTGAATCGGAGCAGAAGGCAACGCAGCCCACAGGGCCTCCCTGGTGAGTCCAGGAGCTCCCCGAGAAGTCTTCTGTTTCTAAATATGAAAATAATTAATTAAAAATATAAAAAAAAACAATAATTAAATTAAATGAATTCATTTTCCGCCGTTTTCCGAAGTGACGCCGCAGCAGCTGCGCAGCGCCTCTGCGGTGTCTGTACACCTCAACGACTTGTGCACGCTGCAGCGAGCGCCTGACTTGGCATTACTTCTTTTAATCTTTTATTTAAAACTATTATTTCAATTCGGAGAAAATGAGAAATGAAGTTCTTAAAGCCCCCTTCTCACGAGCTGTGGCGCGAGGTGTACGTACACCTCAGCGCCCTGCACTTCCCAAATGTGAAATTTCATTTCATTTCGAAACTAAATTTCGAGAAGCTTCTGGACTGCATGCAGAAGCCGGTTCATGTTCTTGAGCCCTTTCTCGAATAAGATCTAAACCCTAAACCCTAAACCCTAAACCCTAGAAGGTGCCCCTAGAACTGCTAGTCGAGAGCTGCTCCGCAGCAGTTCCAAACCCTAAACCCTCGCTAAACCCTAAACCCTAATTCCTAGTTTCTCCAGTTTCTCTAAGGCGCAGCCCCTCCCCAAAAAGGGCGTATCAAGGCTCGTATCAGGGTTTAAGACTCACGGTTTAGGGTTTAGGGTTTAGGGTTTAGGGTTTAGGGTTTAGGGTTTGGGGGGCAACGAATTGAAGGGAAAACCACAAAAAAAGCTGGAGCGTCTTTGCTGCGCTCGAGTGTCTCTTTACCTGTTGGGTTGGAGTGTACAGACAGCTGCGGACTGTATGCATGCGCGCCAATTGCATTTTAAATGAAATCCACTTTTGCAAAAAGTATTTTTTTGCAAAAAAATGCAAATTGCAATTCCACTCGAACTCCGCAAACCCCCGCAAGCACATCCACATGCAAATGCACTCCAAGAGAGCCTGCAGCCTGCTGCAGCAGCAGCAGCAGCAGCAGCAGCTTCTGCAGCAGCAGCAGCAGCAGCAACTGCAGCAGCTGCTGCTGCTGCTGAATGGTGTGCTGGTGAAAAGGCCTCCAGAAGTAGCGCGTGTAGAAACCCTCCTTCCGCAGCGGGTGGCCCCTGTGCTGCTGCAGTGCTGCTGCCAAAAGTGTCTCCTTTTGTCTCCTTTCTATTTCCATTCTTTTCCTCGCCAAACCCTCGAGGGTTTGCAAACCCTTGGTGGTTTGCCGCAGCCGGTCGCACGGCAGGTGCGTCCCGTCCCGCAGGTTCACCTGCACGCCAAACCCTAAACCCTAAACCCTAAACCCTAAACCCTAAACCCTAAACCCTAAACCCTAGCAAGCGCAGCAAACCCTCGCAAACCCTCGCAAGTCCTAGCAAACGTAGACCCTTTGTTCCCTCCAAGTCGCGGGAGAGTGTCTGGAGCTGGCGGCGCCGCCGGCGCTGGGCGCCTAGGGTTTAGGGTTTAGGGTTTAGGGTTTAGGGTTTAGGGTTTGCGCGCCTGGGAGTGCATCATGACCAAGTCCAGCGGGCCTATGTGGGCCAAAAAGGGACACTTCCAATAATAGTAATCCACCAGAGACCCTTCGGGGAGACACTCGTGTTCTTTGTCGGCCCGCAGCGTCGCCTGGTAAAAGTCCTGGTACCTGCGCAGCAGCAGCAGCAGCAGCAGCAGCAGCAGCAGCAGCAGCAGCAGCAGCAGCAGCAGCAGCAGCGGCGGCGGCGGCGGCAGCAGCGGGAGAGGGGGGGTTGGGTTAAGTCTGGCGGAGTCGGTGCACGGTGTTGCGCGCATTCTTGCTGCAGCGGCAGCTGCAGTGGAAGCAGCAGCAGCAGCAGCAGCAGCAGAGACAGCAGCAGCAAAAGCGCCAGCAGCAGCAGCACCAGCAGAAGCAGCAGCAGCAGAAGCAGCAGAAGCAGCAACAGAAGCAGAAGCAGCAGTAGAGCAGCAGCAGCACCACCAAGAAGCAGCAGAAGCAGCAACAGCAACAGCAGCAACAGCAGCAGCAGCAGCAGCAGCAGCAGCAGCAGCAGCAGCAGCAGCAGCAGCAGCAGCAGCACTTACCACTGTGAGGCCTCATCAGTCATCATGCGGGTCCCATCAGGGGCAATACCTGTCCTGAGGTGTACAGACAGTGCAGAGTTAGGAAACTCAAATAAGCGTCTTTACTAATTCCACAAACCCCCATTTAGGGTTTAGGGTTTAGGGTTTAGGGTTAACTCCTTAGAGTTCAACCTTTAGACTTTAGGGTTTACTGTCTAGTGGGTTTAGAGTGCAGCATTTTCAGGCCTAGGGTTTAGGGTTTAGGGTTTAGGTTTTAGTGTTCATGCTTTAATAGAGCTCCAGTATAGGGTTTAGGGTTTAGGGTTTAGGGTTTAGGGTTTAGGGTTTGCAGTTGAGCCAAGTCCTCATTTCTTTGACAACTTCTTCAGTGGACTTAATAACTTCCTTCACAACTGCAGTGCCCGCACAGCTCTAA